CTTAAGCTATCTTTTTTTACGTTAATTTAAGATGAGAGAGCATGTAAAGCGAGGCAGGAAGGGGGGAGGGGGAGGGGGATAAAGGGGACATTGAGAATACATATCCAGAAGTGGTCTCGACTATTAAAGAAAATGAAATTACTATAGAAGACATACGGTAGACAAACTATTTGGGAGAAATATCGGAAGGAAAATGCTGAATTTCTAAATCGAGCAATACGAAAAGCAGGTGAATGAAGGGAGTGGTTCTGCAAGGAAGAGACAAGATTGAATCTATGAGGCAAAGAAATAAAAAGTAATCGCAAACTCCTATCCATGGTAGAGATCAAATCTTCTCGTCTCGAAGAAGAAAATGTTGATTTGTCCTCCTGGAAACCCCTTTCAAGAAGGTGCGGAGGCAGCTCAGCTGGAGCACAACAGCTAAGACCCATTTATAAAGTGTTAATAACATAGTCTTTCAAGCACCTGCTTGTATCATCTTGCAGTTAGCTCCTAAGAAGTATACTTTTAGTTCAAATAATAAGGTTAGAATGAAGACAGTTAGCTCCTAAGGAGTATACTTTTACTTCAAAAAATAAAGTTAGAATGAAGACAAAATCTTTAAATTTTTAAAGACGGCGATATGAAGATATCAAGCTTATTCCGCATTTATCGTAACATCGGTAAAACATATTTTGTATTTCCAATCTAGATTTTTTATGATACAAAGCAATAGAGGAAAGAAAAAGGAGAGATTTACTTCCCTTTCCTCTTCCTCTACTCTCCCCATTACTCTCCTCTCTTCCCCTATCCAGCGACCCAGGCATGGCTTTACCGCCTAATACCTTGTGTAAGCATAAAGATGACTCCTGCATGCAGGATATGTCAAAATCCTAGTTTAATTTGACACAAGTACTTGATTTCTTCGCTGCAAACCAAGAGATACGAATCGGAAGTAACCGTGACAGATTTTTTGCTTGAAGGGGATGCGGAAGAAAAATCAACAAAAAGGCTGGATACGGGAAGGGGCAAAACCGTGCCCCTTTTGAGCTGTCTAAAAAGGTTCTGACATTGACTTCTTGATAATCACTTGACTTATATACCTTTTACCTTTAAGCTTGTTTCCGCCACTACCATTCACATCTGACGAAGAATGAGAAATACGATTAAGAGGTAAAAACGATCCTTAGATAAGGCGACTATTCTATGAACTAAACTCCAGAGGCAGTCTATGTTTTTCCCTGCCATTACCTTATGTTTTTTCAGAGCGTATGTACTCATTCAAGATCATTTCCAAAAGACCTTAATCTTTGCTTAATGCGTTAAGTGACAAAATTTGAATAGCCAAAGACTAACTCCGATTAACACTTGGACCAATGTATGAAATATGAAGATTAAAGTTGTCGC